ACACTGCCCGCTTATACCTGAACTAATCGGCACAGATAAAAAATTTGACATATCTGTTTTCGTTCCCTGTCACGGACCCCATGCCACGTTTGATGAATGCTATTCTATGTTCAAAAGAAAATCTATTTTAAACCCGCCGATATACGACTTATTTTAGACGAACGAAACATTTAACATAATCTGTGACGTTTTATTTGCTTACTGTAGTTTGGCGCGAAATTTTCTAAAACATAAATTTGCCCTTAGTGATATTTATTATAAGATAATTTTTAGGTTGGCGTCATCGAGAAAAAATATGTTATTTAAAAGAAACGTTTACCTGTAAGCGATAAGCCTAATCGGTTGTGTTTTGTTTGTTCGAGGCATGACGTAATTGATATTTTGTCTACCTTTTAATGGAGGATCACTTTCGTTACTGTTTTTATGAACAACAAAAAAACGTTAAGAAAATTACGTCATTTTAACGCAATAAAGGTCTTTTTGTCTCGAACGGTGGCGGTAAGGGTATTGTAAATTATGACATTTAAATACCAGAGAAATAGGCCTGCTGATAAAATTGTTCCCAAGTAGTATGCAAATGTAGTTTTAAGTTGAACAATAGAATTTGCGACAGTACAATAACGGTTGTTAAGATTAGCCTAAAATATTGTTTTAAGTACAGACAATTAGAAAATTAAACAAGGAATATTTGCAACTAGCTCAATGATTTTATTATAACTTACGACTATGTTATTTATGTTTGGTGGTTAGTCACTGGAAACTATTATAATTATTTGCTTTGAAATATATAGCATAAACAATTTTGAGTAATTCTTTTTTTATTATTGCGTAGTAGAAAAAAACAAAATATCTATTTTATAGTTATTTAGGTTATAAAAAAATATGTATTTTATATACATGTTTTTTGTCTTTGACTATATTTTTAAATGATTCATTATATTCTATTACTGCATGTATGGAATAATATCAAAAATAATTAGGTATGTAGGTATATAAATTATAAACCAACATTACAATTGAAATATTTAGTTTTTAAATCCCGCGTGTTCAAAGTAGAACACATTCAAACTGACTGATATTTTGACTAAAACAAACAGATTACGAAATCATAGTAATCTCGACATTTTGAGTCAACAGTCTTATCTAATCAGCGATTACGGTAAATCTGAAGACCTTGTGGTTCTTTAAAAGGTTTTGATCTTTCGTAAATTTATTTACTTAAGTACGATATAGAACCATTTCAAATAACAAAATTTTACTGGGGCTTCATTAAACTAACTTCATAAACGTTCGTAGAAAAGCAAATTACTGTTTTCGATATAGCATAGTCGTATCTCTGACACGAACAACGACTGACAGAACTATTTTATTATTTAGAGCCATATAATACAAATAATATCGCGTTTTAAACCGTTAAAATGTTGTATTTAAATGTAGTACTACTGGCTTAAATTACAGACAGTATATAATACATATATTTTTTTCGTTTATTTGTTTGTAGCTTTACAACAAATCTGTATAATGCTTACACTAAAGGTTTTTAAATAGAAATTCAAATAAACCTATCCGTACATGGCTTTAACTGCTAAAAGGAATGTCTACGTCACAAAGCGTCACAGTGCATCTTCCCTCTCGTCCTTTAAAAGGATAATTTAGTTTATATTGTCGTCGTGGGGTAGTATGGATACGCCATGCTTTATATTTTTGTGTATTCTTGATCACTGTCTTTTGTAACTGTGTTAATATTTGTATTTAAATGTAATGAAATAAAAATAAACAGTAAGAACATTATTTTGCATAAATATACAAATAATTTTATTACCACTTAAATTGATTATACAAAAAACAATTATTTTTTTTAGATTCAAGTCTCAAAAAGCGCCATCCATATTTTTTAGTACCTGCAAAAGTCAATACTTTGCTAAACACACGTCACTAATCACACTTCAAAAGTATTACGTAATTTATCAGTCCTGATATCAGAGATAACCACTTGTCTGTGGTATATGTTGCAATGATTCATATTTACGTATTTCCGCACTGGTATTAACTGTATCAATTCTCACTGGAATTTCTTTAACTGATGACGAATATAAATAGGAAAATCACGGTGAAATGCATACGATTGTCATTCGTTGAGTCATAGATAAAGATTTGAAAATTCACAAGCAATATTCGTTATTTAAAAAGCTTTTTTACATGCGCCATATGAAATGACTGACTTTGGTTCAATTCCTATGAAGCAGACTGTTCGTTAGGGTTCGGTACTCAAATAACAAAACGAGACCTGTTTATAAATACACTTCTCTATGTCATCTACTAAGAGAGGCAAAATCTGGTGATATTTAATGAATCGTGACAGACATAAAATTATAACAGACTAGTTGATCCGGCAAATTTTGTTTCGTTGTTTGCAAGATACTTGATTTTTTTACTTTGAAGAGGAGCTATTATTAGTTTTCACAGCCCACGCAACAGTAAATAATTTTCCTTGTTTCCTTCCCCGTTTCTTTGCTCCTATTACACAGCGTTCTGTTATAAACTTACAATCCTTGATAAATAGTCTATCCAACACATAAATAATTTTTTAATTCGCACCGGTAATTCCTGAGATATGCGCGTTTAAATAAACGAACAAACTGTAGCGATATAATATTTATATATATGTGTTTCTTTTGCCACAATAACAACAGATACTAAAATAATAATGTTTATTTTGAATTAATTTCGAAGAAGAGTTCGTTACAACAACATTACCGTTTGCCCTTTTTATGGATGAAGTGACGGAACCCTTCGTGCGCGATTTCGACTCACACTTGACTGGTTTTATTTTCCTACTATGTAATATAATCTAAATTAAAATCAAATCAATAGGCATCGAAAGCGTGCACTGGCAATTTTCACAATTTCCTTTTTATGTAACGTTCACGTTCAGTCCAGAAGTTATTAATTTTTATTGCCCTATCGTATTACATTAGCTACGTAACACGAGGTAACGACGAAATATTAGCATAAGACGGATGCCGTACCTGCATAATTACAAAGTTAAAATAATGCATGTAAGTAGCACAATTTCATTTTGGGTAATCGAGAAAATAAAGTACCTACTTGGCCGCCCTTTGCATTTCATTCTTATAATAATATACATGTGTAAAAACCTTATTCTTTGATTTTTATCGCATTTCGGTGTTAATGTTGAAGAGTTGTTTAATAGTTTTAAACTTAAATATTTTGTTAAAAAAACTTTAAAATAATTTGTTCATAAGTTTAACTAGTACATTTCGCGTTTGCAGCCGTTAAAGTGTTTTGTTTACTACTCGCGTAATTTTATATGATTTACTTTATTATTGAATTAGATACAAAAAAATTCTAAATATAACTGCCAAGAGCATATCCATACTAACATACACATTGTAGGTTAAGAATGGCAGCGGTCAATTGAAGAGGATTTGGGTCCATCTACAGCTGAGCCTTATACGGGTTGCTCTAAAAAATTCAATACCCATTGATTGTACGCTCGTGCGGCATGAAAATAAATAATTCTAGGGATCTACTTTACTATTCAATAATCAAACTACGTTATAAATATGCAGAGGTGTTAAAATTATTCAATTCCTTCATTCATTCTGATAATTATATACGAGGCCGCTAGAGACAGAGTAGCCTAACTGCACTTGAAGTTGTGTAGGTTATGTCTTGAGTTATTAATATTTTCATAGTCTTAAAATGTTAATCTACAAAAGCACCGCGACCGAAAATTGTCAACATAATTTTTACACAAAAGTAAAAATCTTATTTAATATCATGTTTTTTGTTAGTAGGCCACTCTGCCTCTAGCAGCCTCATATTTAAATCGAGATAACTTGCTTAATTAAAAGGTATACCTTTAACTTATCGTATAAGGTTAGAAAAATTATATAAAACAAGTCAAGTACACACACACTCGTATTTACGTAAGTAGCAGAATTATTCCTTTATTATTATTATTTGGGGGTAAACTAAGTGTTGATTTTTCCACAAGAAGGCTTTCTTTCTTCGACTATAATCACTGTATGCAATCCGAACAGAGAGTCGTTCTAAAGTCTTAAACCCCATGGTCTAAAAAAAAATAACCAATAATCATAAATGATAAAAATGTCCGTACTTAGTAATTCAAATAGTATAGATTATAAAAATAATAACAATTACCTATTCATATAAAAGACCAAATGAGTAGATATGACACAGTCACTTTTCAAAACAAGAATCTAAGCTCAATTAATCGCAGTCATTAGTTTTGAAAGTTGGAACATCCTGTATGCAGACAAAACAGTCTGTAAGTATGATTAATAGATTCGTGGGACAGGTCAGGTTCGCGCGCCCCGCACAGCTGGGATATATGCATTTATAAGCTGTTCGTGTGACCATGGATACAGGGTGATTTATTAAGTAGGTCATTAGAACGATATCAAGTATGATTTGAATAAGCGCATTGCGAATAAGTTTTAAAACTAGGTTATTTTTATACCACCTGTAGTTTACGCTAGCAGTACCTACTTATTTAAAATTACTCTTTTAACGGTAAACACAAAATATATAAGTCAACTTATTTATTAAAGATAGTAGATAAAATTAATTAAAAATCAGTTAAGTAATATATTTCGCGTTTTAAACCGTAACAAGTGTTTTATTTAAAGAAGAATGAAGATTAGGAGAGTGAAGAGTTTGTATTTATTTAACTAGTTCAACTTGTCTCCCCGTGACCACGGCTGCTGCAAAGCATCCGAAACGTCGGGCCGAAGTTAAAAATCATTTTAAAATAAGTTTAACTAATATATCGCGTTTTAAACCGTTAAAGTGTTTAATTTAAATAGTTCAACTTTCACATAATATATTATCATAATTGGGCGCAGTTAATCTACAAGTATTTTTTTCTAAAAGTACCTTTATTGGCAAAACGATGTGACCCTTAGCTCTTTTACAAATGACCCATCTGCCCCGATCTTAATCTAACACCTTACCTTCGTACATCTGCGCATATTGGGGAAAGCCAGCTGCCCGAAGCCATTTGCAAGCTTCTGCTGCTTCGATTTCTGCAACAATGGGGATGACTATCAGCACAGTTATTTATACACGATGCACTCAAAATTATAAGAAGAATCCTTGAGCATTGATGTTAGATATTTTTCTTTCAAAGTAATCAATCAAACAGAATTATTGCTCAATTATCTATGTAATAGTGGATCAGAAAGCTATCTCGCAAATTCGAAATGGAGGGTCAAAAATATTATTTTATTTATACTTCTTTTAAGTACCGATATTGACTCACTGTCTGACTTACTACACATTTAAATTAACCACCAACTTGTCGGGTCATAGATAAAAGAATTTCCAAATAAGTTTAACTAATATATACATCGCGTTTAAGACCCTTCAAGTATTTTATTTAGATATAGACTTATTTTTCAGAAATTGAAAGAAAAAGCAATTAAATAATACAATATCATAACAAAGTGTTCACGGCATTTAAGAACAACATAAGGCGTAATCTACTTACTGGCCTATATTCTACTCACTAGTTTCGCCATAATAAGGAGCCGATAAAAATAAAAAACGACTGACGTTTTGATGGTAGATTATTGTTAGAGGCTAATTAGTTTAACATTCTACCCTTTCAAGTTACAGATACCCGAAAAAAGTATATCGTTCTGTCAAAACTTGACGTACCCTTCGGAAAGGTCATTAAAATTCCACGCCGTTGTTACGCACCTCAAACAAAAAACAGCAAAAAACTAAAATAAACAATAGTCGAAATACTGTTCTCATAAATATTTATAAATCATAACCGTAAGATCCTTCTAAAATATATTAGGGTAGTATGTAATATAACTAACATTCGGTTTACGGTTTAACCGAATTCCGGTTGCTTGAATTAAATTTAAAATGACCTATTGAACACTGAAATTGCATAATTAAAGTAATGATTTGATAAATGACACCAGACAGACGCTGCAACGCACTGGGTAACGAATCAGATGATGATTATTCTTCGTCGTTGATCATCATAACTCTAATCAGGTACATTTTAAGAAAACAGTAAATGTAAGTTAACTTCAAATGTGTTTTTCGCCATTTTTTATTATTTATGTTTATTATGAACAGAAATTTGTATGAACTTCGGTTTCGGTTAAAACCGTAAGTGGTGGTAAATTACTTACTTTTCCATTCGTCGGGGTTACGACAAAACGTACGTTAACGAAGTCACGTGTTGGTCTATCACAAGTATTGTGGTTCTGACGTAAACTAATATCTACGTTATTAAGAATATGAGAAAAATACATCTTAGCTTCTAATCATCAGTTATATTATAATCTGGTTTAATTATTCTCTTTTAGTGCACACCTTATCTCAATGTACGTATTTCAACAAAAGTATCTAATATATGTAAATCCGAAATAATGTTAAAAATTATATAACACTGATGCTAAAACGCAATTTCTGGTACTGTATTTACATATTTTCCCATTGCTAACCAACTTAGAAGTAAGTTAAAGTAACAAACAATGTTTAAAGCATACAGTATGCTCTCTGATGCCTATAGAATGAACACCGAGTACTATCGTAAATGGTTTAATACAATGCCGGTGCCTGGCGACGCTTCTTCTATGATAATTATTCGTTAGCAGCACTCAAAGAAATGAACATCAATTTTCCGACTGTTAACCTCAAATTCCCTATTATGGTATCGGGGACGATTTTTCACAACTCATTTAAATTTCCATTTTACTATCTTGAAACTTTCGTCTCGATTTTTTACGGACCTGTTGATAGCGAAGCTTTCAACGGATTCAATTGTGTCATTTGTAACATTCAAACACCATTACAACGATATCAAGGTCGAGACCAGTTCATTTAGGGTGTAGTCGTCAATAAATGCGTTATACCGCTTACTTAAAAAGAAATAAACTGTTTGAACCACGCAATAGTGTGATTTATGTACACGGCATACAACCGTTTTGTATCAACGAAGTACAAGTTGAATTTGAGGCAAGTATTGTAAGTCGATCACTGACCAATACGCGCTATGCTATAATCAGGGCTTATTGGAGACCGCAGCCTAACTTTTTAATAGAAAATCAGGTCTGGATAAGATAGCAGTGGAATTCTCTACGGAGTCTGAGATATGTTCTCATGCACAAGTGAATGTTAATATAGTTAATTAGTAACGTTACCAATAGTTATCATAGACATAATTAGTGCTTAAGAGTGAGTATCAATAAAATGTTATACGTCCTTCTATAAATGTATATGTAAACGCACTAATGTAACGTAAGATGTTGTACAACAAAATGAACTTCAAAAAGTCAGGAAATGTAATGATTTTGCAAATACTATTTAGCTGAACTTATGTTTTATGGCGTACACATAAAACTACATAATTTAGACTAATAGTATATAATCTTATTATTGAATAATTGTGTGTGTATTAATTGCTTTTAAGTGTAAAAAGAACAACCATTAACGAAAGTAGAACAGTACCTGTAATTTGGTCCGCGCTCAAATTAGGAACACTCATTGCTCGTGCTAACGACTACTAAACACTAAAAATCGATTGCACACGCGCCCGCGCATCTCCATAAACACTGAATCATAACACTTTCGGCTTTCCAGAGAAACTGGATCACAACACTAACAAGCGATTCCGATGAATGTACGTTAAATTTTGGCGTTACACAACGGACCAGCGTTATAAATTTGAACCACCTGTCTCTGATTACGTGCATACAAATCGGGCACATTAATTCGAGTAAACCTTCTTTGGAGACAAATAAAAAAAAACAATCTGTCACTCTTTGAAAATAGAATTTTGTCAATACGAGAAACAAACGCGCGCACTTGAGGTGTAGCTCTAGAATGAGATTATCAGTGTTTATCATAACTAGTGGTACTTACGTCCTTTAATCACTGAACACGTCACCGATAGCCGTGGAACTCCGAGTTAGGAAAAACTGGTGTCGTATTGATAGGGTAATTTATTTGAATAATTGTTGGTTTCTTGGAAATTATTATAATTGATGTCGACTGCTGCTTCCATTGAGGTTACAGGAAAGCTTTATTTGTCGAAAGCATTTCAATGTATTTCAACTGTTTTCCTTCTACAACGGAATAAAACTTAGAAATAAAGTAATTCTGTTTAAATAAAACTAGAGAAATAATAATGATATGGCGACTCTAAACATTACGATTTTCTAGTTCTTGGTAATACAAAGTTAAACTTTACAATTTAAAAATTATATAATCTATACTAATATATAAAGCTGAAGAGTTTGTTTGTTTGAACGCGCTAATCTCAGCAACTACGGGTTCGAATTGAAAAATTCTTTTTGTGTTAGCTAAAACATATATCGAGTAAGGTTATAGGCTATATAACATCGCGTTGCAACTAAAACAAGCGAAGAAATGTGATAAAAACATCATTGTAGGTTTCAGATGCGTACGCTGCGAAATGGTTCAAGATACACAAAAAATATATTTGAGAGAATGATTCTTTACATTATCAAAAAAATGTTCGCGACAGTCTATGTTTATCTTTTAAGATTAACTTGCAAGAGCGACGGGAACAGCTTAAGTTCACAAAGATGGAGGCTTGCAGAAATAAATTTTGATGCCGAAAATAACTATTCTACACGGAAGAAGTCGCTGAAACAGCTAGTAGTTAATATATATTGCACATATTTCCTTTGAAAGACACAACAGCTTTTATTTATTATCCATCTTTATATGAACGCGCAAAGTTACTCACAAGACATTCAAAGGAACAAGACAACTACCGAAGCGTGACTGCAATATTCAGTCCCCTGCAATATTGCATAACTCACAGTCGTTTATCACTCGCTGAAAAACTTTTAGCAAATGAAAAATATCTCTCGCTTCCAGTGTTGTATCATTGCATTTATTATCTGTGTTCCTCGCGAGAAAAGCAGCCATCTGTCTTGCGAAGTTATGGCTTCATTTTAAGTAAAGTTGTCGATCTAGTATTCTGTTCAGGTAATATATTAATAGTTCGATAAAAGAGTAATACATTTTATAAGCAATCAAATTTCAAAGAAATAAATACTCAACAGAAAAAGTATTAAAGATGCATGTGTTAGGAAGAAATATTCCAACAATTTTTTTTTATTAAAATAATTTGGCTTATTTTATTAACTTAATTACACTGCCAATTCACGTTTATATATATTCCTATTAGGCCGCTAGAGACAGAGTAACCTAACTGCAATTTTTATGTCTTGAGTTATTTATCATATCATTGTTTTTCGGGCTGTTCGGCCAACGTGAGCGTGGCATCATCAGGAGATATATGATATGCTGAACAATGGTCGCGAAAGCCTTTTACAATTTATTGAGCTATTTGTATTCTTAGTTAATTGCGGATTATTATTTTCTTCCTTATTGAAAATCATGTTTTTGTTATTAGGCCACTCTGCATCTAGCAGCCTCATTCTAAATTCCAGGCTTTAAATTGAAATACATGTGTTAGCTCCAATAGCTCTAAAATAAACATACAGATATTTGTCACACCTACTATTTGTCTTTTGTCTCATATACTATTTGTCTTTTATTATGAGCAGTTTTGAAATAGAGCAATGAAAACAACACAGCAAAAACTATGATCTATGTCCATTCAGCATTAAATATAGCAGTTTGTTCAGTCAATAAATTCGTTATGTAAACCAAACCGACTGATATATCTCGTCCAAGCCTAACCATATAGAGAATTATTAATGCCAATTGCAAACTAGCTCTATATTGTGTTAAGATTAACGATTTTAAGAAGAATTTATTGAAGGTAAGCGGTTACTGGGTATAGGGACGGAATGTCGATATGCCTTATTCGGCCGAAAGGACACGCGAGATCCACGGTCGGCTCTCGTTTTTAAACATTACACAACTTAAATAATCTTATTATTTTCCTCCAAAAATTAAAACAACAGAGTATGTCAAGATACATGAAACTAGTGAAATACAGACACAGTAAAATACGATGCAAGTTGATGAAAACAAACATTTGTTACGATAGGGATTCGATGGAAGGTGAAATATTCGAGCCAAACAACATCTCATAAGATAGGTTCTTAACGTACGTTGGCTTTGGATATTCGGATATTTGGATAATCCACAGACTGAAACCGAAACGCAATTGAGCTTCACGGCTTTTTCATGAGACACAAAATAGGGACGAAAAATCGAGCTCCCAAAATTAATTTACCCAACATTACGTTCTGATTAGACACATCGAGAAGTTTCGATGAGGCAGGAACCTTCTGTAATAAAAAAAATTGTCTGTCTATTGCCCCGTACAGATCGTTAGTATTATTGAAATTAGTTACCCAGATAAGCCTCTCAAAATTTGCTCAAATCATGATGACGTTTGCTCTCAAAACAAGTTCTGTTTTGTTCCACTACTGCAAAAAGCTTTAATTATCCCCTTTAATGAATGCGCTAATGTTACGCTGATTAATTATATTTGCAATCGTAGGAATTCATTAGGTTTTTTTCCTCTTAATTAAGCGCATATAACATATATTTGTTCAGGTAATTACATCGAAACATAATGTATTTGTACAGACATTAATAAAGTAAATACCAGTTTTAACGAAGACTACAGAGTTGAGACATTCAAAACTATCGAGAGAAGTATCGTTTTTATATATTTTAACAGTAAACCTTAAAATAATTAAA